ACCAGGGAGGGTCCATCTAGTCCAGCATCCTGTCTCACACACAGGGGCCAGCCAGTTCCTCTGGAGGGCCAGCAACAGGGCAGAGAGGCCGAGGCCTTCCCCTGATAAGAGCATCAGAAGAGCGCTGCTGGGTCAGACCAGGGAGGGTCCATCTAGTCCAGCATCCTGTCTCACACACAGGGGCCAGCCAGTTCCGCTGGAGGAACCATGTAAGCCACTTGGGGGAATAAAGTGGGTGACTTTGGGCCAGACACACACTCTCCGCCTGGCCTACCTCACAGGGTTGTTGTGTAGATAAAATAAAAAGAGGAGGAGAAAGAAGTAACCCACTATGGAAACAAAACGGGTGATCCTGAACCAGTTACACTCTCAGCCTAACCTCCCTCACAAGGTTGTTGTGAGGATAAAATAGAGGGGAGAAGAATGATGTAATCACTCTAGGGATATCGGAAGGGCATGCGTGAAGGAAATAGTTTTTGAAATAAAAACTGCTGCTGCCCCCAGAGCCCGCATTCTTCCTTCTGGGTCTAATTCCCCACTCCTCCACTTGCACCTGCTGGATGACTTTGGGCAAGCCACAGTTCTGTCAGAGCTGTCCTTGAAAAAGAGCCATTTTTGTCAGAGCTCTCTTAGCTCCGCCTACCTCACAGGGTGTCTGTTGTGGGGAGGGGAAGGGAAAGGAGTTTGTAAGCCGCTCTGAGACTCCTTTGTGCAGTTTCGCAGGGCCTGTAAGACGGAGCTCTTCCGCCAGGCTTTCTAGTAGAAGCCGCCGCCACAATCCCACCACCGAGGTAGTGTGTCATCGGCTGCCCTACTAAAGGGGGGCAAGTATGGCCTGGCAGAAGTTATAGACAGCGTAGCGGGAGACCGCGCTACTGAGATAGCTGGCCACCAAATTGGGGTGGTTGTTCCCATCTTGGATGACTCATATAGGCATAGCACCGTGTTATAGGATGGCGTTTACTGTGGTTTTAAATGTTGTATTTTACTATATGTTTTATTGTAATTTATGTCTCGGCTTTGCCGCATGTGAGCCGCCCTGAGCCTCTGGGAGGGCGGGATACAAATCAAATAAATAAATAAATAAATCTCTTCTTCTTGTCTCAGTCAGTTCCAAAGTCTCTAAATTGGCATGGAATTGCTGCTTGGTTTTGTGTCAAGGAAGGGGTCTGCTCAGTCAGCAGAACAAGACTTCAGAAGCCGGGTGATAACGTGTACAGTTCTAGTCACCGTATCTCCAAAAGGACATTGCAGAGCTGGGAAAAGTAAGAGGAGGGCGAGCAAGATGATGAGGGGGTTGGGTCCCCGTCCCCATGAAAAAAGGCTGAAGAGCCCGGGACTTCTCGGTTCAGAAGAGAGACCGCTAAGGGGGGGACACAATCGGGGTTTATCAAATTATGCTTGGGGTGGAGACAGTTGCCCAAGAGAACTTTTCCTCCCTCTCTCAAAATAGTAGAATTCAAAGGCATCGAATGAAGAACTGCTCTTTCAAAAACAGCTCACAGAACGACGGCTTGCCCCAAGGTCATCCAGCAGCTGCAAGTGGAGAAGTGGGGAATCAAACCCGGTTCTCCCAGACTGGAGTCCACGCTCCTAACCCCTACACCAAACTGGACAGGACAGATATATGTATTAAGAAGAGGAGGAGGATTTATACTCTGCCCTTCACTCCCCGAAGGAGTCTCAGAGCGACTTACAATCTCCTTTCCCTTCCCCTCCCCACAACAGACACCCTGTGAGGTAGGTGGGGCTGAGAGAGCTCTTTCAAGGACTGCCCTCGAGAGAACAGCTCTGAGAGAACTTGTGACTGACCCAAGATCACACAAGCGGCTGCATGTGGAGGACTGAGGAATCAAACCCGACGCTCCCAGATCAGAGTCCACGCTCCTAACCACTACACCAAACTGGCCCCCATGTGTGCGTGCACATGAAAGCTTACACCCAGAATAAAACTTTGATGGTCTTAAAGGCACTTTGTTTTGAGAACTGAGAACTGAGTTGCACACTGCACCCCCCATATTCTGTATTTTTCTATTTACTATTATATCCTGTCTGCCCAATTGAGGACTGCTCTTGAGAGAACACAGCTTGTGACTGACCCAAGGCCACACCAGCAGCTGCGTGTGGAAGAGTGGGAAATCAAACCCAGTTCTCCCAGATTACAGTCTTAACCGCTAGACCAAACGGGCTCACCAAACTGCTGATGGGCAGTAGGTTCAGGACGGGGGAAAGGAGATATTTCTTTACACAGAGAGTGATTAATATGTGGAATTCGCTGCCAGAGGGCGTAGTGATGGCCACAGGAATAAATAGGGGATTCAATACACTCATGGAGAAGTCTATCAGTGGCTCCTAGCCACAGTGGCTGAGGGGGACCTCCACATTCAGAAGCACTGATCCTCTGAATCTTAGAGCCAGGAGGCAACATCAGGGGAAGGCCTCAGCCTCTGTGCACTCCAGAGGAACTGGCTGGCCACTGTGAGTGAGACAGGATGCTCAACTAGATGGACCCTCGCTGGGCTGACCCAGCAGGGCTCTTCTGATGTTCTTATTTCCCAGCTGAGCACATACAGATTTAGAGGTCTATCTGTGGCTACTTCTCATGGTGACTAAAGGGAGCTTCTGCATGTGAATTCCTGCATGTGAATTATCCATTGCTGGGATAAAAGACTTCTATGCCCTGCTGTTGGAACTGGCTGGTTGCTGTGTGAGGCAGGATGCTGGACTAGAGGGACCCTCACTGGTCTGGTCCAGCAGGGCTCCTCCGATGTAAATAAATAAATCAATCAACACACACACACGTACATACATATACACACACACACACACACCTATCTCTCTCTCTTTATATAACACACACACACACATATTCATCATCTATATACACATATGCAACACATACATATATACGTATATATACATACACATATACACCTATTTATATATACACACATATACATATACATGCCCACCTATATATATACACACACACATATATACATCTCTTTATACACACACACACATATACATACATACACACACATATATACATATATACACTTATCTATATATGCACACATATATACATCTCTTTCTTACACACACACACATATACATACATAAACATATCTACATCTATATATACACATATATACACTTCTCTCTATACACATACACACACATGTACATCTATATGTATACACATACATATATATACCTAAATATGCACACATATACATCTCAATCTATATACACACATATACACACCTCTCTATATATACACACACATATACATATGTACATCTATATGTAGACACATACATATACATCTATACACACACACCTCTCTCTATATATATATATATATACACACACATACATATACATACACACATCTCTCTATATATATATACATACACACACATACATGTGTACATCTATATGTATACACATACATATATACACCTATCTATATACATATACACCTATCTCTCTATATACACAGACATATACTACAAACATTCACATCTACACACACATCTCTCCCTCTATATATGCACATCTACACACACACACGGATGGAGACAGACCCGCAGACCCGCTAACTGACTGACACACCTTTTCGTGAGACCCCCCCCCCCGCCCCCCCCTAACCGCCTCCCCCTCCCGCC